TAGAGACTGGATTGTTACTGTGTTAAACAAGAGACTGGATTGTTACTGTGTTAAACAAGAGACTGGATTGTTACTGTGTTAAACAAGAGACTGGATTGCTACTGTGTTAAACAAGAGACTGGATTGTTACTATGTTAAACAAAGACTCTCATTTCTATCATTCTCAGCTTAGCAAGAAGCATCGAAATGGACACATCATGAAGGTGGATTGGCTAGATCGACTGACATTTCGAGAAATTGAAATGATTAATGAACAAGAGAAACGTAGTTCGAATTTCATGTATCTAATGGTAGAATTTCCTTGTGTAGTAATGAATAACACTGAATACAGCATTGTATACTTTGAACAGGTAAGGCTTTTAAAGTGCGTTACAAATAAAAAATGTATTTTTTGAGAATATGAAAATTAAGCCTAATGAATGAAGTTACCACTGTAGTGTTGATGTCAAAGTGAATAATAAATTATTGTAAATATAATTTATTTGTGCAGTCCTTAATATTGATGTAGTATGATGTTGGTAAATGAATCCAAATCAGAATGATTAGTTGTTATAAAGTTTGATTGTAGTGAGACTAATTAAACTTAAAATGTACTTTTTACTATCACTAAATATTAGTAACAACAAGTAAAGCTAAAATATAACTTGCAGGTTTCCTCTATGAGCCATGGTTAGTTAAGTTTACAATTATTTAATGTGTACTTATTGTTCTGGTAGTGAATTTAAACTGATAATTAAACTACAGGATGTGGAGGAGGACTGTCAACACCAATTATTTAATGTGTACTTATTGTTCTGGTAGTGTTTTAAACTGATAATTAAACTACAGGATGCCTGGTAACAGCATACTTCCTAACTGCTGGATGTGTAAACTGCGGAGACAAGAGTTCCAAAGCATCATCTATATCCATCGCTTGCCATTTTCCTAGAAGTTCCAGAGCTTGTTTGGCTTCCCCACTAACTTTCCAGTTTACACACTTAAGAAACTTTGTAAGAGCCTAGAAATATAGATTAGATGATTCAGAACACATTAATTCCATACATTTTGGTTCTTTATTTTGTTTAAAAGGTAGTTTGGATTAGCAATCTATATACAGATCTGTAAGCGACTAAAAATATGCATATCATAATTCAGAACATACTTCATATCGCTAATGTATTATTATTTTTAAACAATAGTTTGACATACCAATCTGTACACAGGTTTTAACTATTAATATTTTAAACAAAGATAGTTATAGTTTTTATATTATTTCTTGACCGACCTTCTTCTGACTTGTGAGATAAAACCTAAACTTCCACACTAGGTCTTGCTCCTCGGACGAAAGATTTTTTGTTGGTGAGTAACTAACTATCACCTGGAAGCAAGATAAAACTTAGTTAAACCAATTTACGTTTACAAGTGTACTGACAGTAAAATTACATAAACAAAATAGTCTCACAAATATCACTTACTGAGGTGTAGTTTAATTACATAAACTGTCAAAATATGTAATGGCAGATTATCGAGTTCCGAGTCTTTAAATAACATATTATGTACCTTTAAATCTGTGTGTTTGTAATGATCATGATCTCGAATGATATAAACTCACAAGAAAATATTCAACTTTTAACCATCACTTATTAAGAGTCAAAATGGCACAAAAACAACATTTTTTGGCACAATGCAAGATAAAATCTTTATCATAGATTACAGCCGACTCATTTTGGTAACAAAATTACCTTCGTCAGGGCTAGAGTTAATGGATGAGTTCATTATTAAAAAACAAACACTGTAGAAACTAGCCCTGATGATGTTACCAAAACTAGTTGGCTGTAACCTATAATAACGAGTTCACCTTTCATTGTGCCAAAAACCATCATTTTTTGTGCTTTTCTTTACTTTTAATGTAGTAGCACAATGTGCTTCAAAAGAAATTATTAGTTTAATCATCATCCTTAAACATTTTTATTAAAATCTACATTAAATGTTCTGATATTGTTTAAGTATAAAATTATCTTACATTCAGTTGGTCTCTTGTTACAGCATTTGGTTTCAAGTCTTTATCACTTAGGCCACTCCTTACACTTCTTACTAATTTGTGATGTTTACTCTCCACTAGGTTTTCCTGAAATGTAACAATGATCTTATTTTCTGATGTTTACCCTACAATGTTAACTAAAACATAACTACATTATTTTATGATGTTTACTCTACAGTGTTAACTGAAACATAACTACGTTATTTTATGATGTTTACTCTACAGTGTTAACTAAAACATAACTACATTATTTTATGATGTTTACCCTACATTGTTAACTAAAACATAACTACGTTATTTTATGATGTTTACCCTACAATGTTAACTAAAACATAACTACATTATTTTATGATGTTTACTCTACAATGATAACTAAAACATAACTATGTTATTTTATGATGTTTACTCTACATTGTTAACTAAAACATAACTACGTTATTTTATGATGTTTACCCTACAATGTTAACTAAAACATAACTATGTTATTTTATGATGTTTACTCTATATTGTTAACTAAAACATAACTACGTTATTTTATGATGTTTACTCTACAGTGTTAACTAAAACATAACTATGTTATTTTATGATGTTTACTCTATATTGTTAACTAAAACATAACTACGTTATTTTATGATGTTTACTCTACAGTGTTAACTAAAACATAACTACATTATTTTATGATGTTTACCCTACATTGTTAACTAAAACATAACTACGTTATTTTATGATGTTTACCCTACAATGTTAACTAAAACATAACTATGTTATTTTATGATGTTTACTCTATATTGTTAACTAAAACATAACTACGTTATTTTATGATGTTTACCCTACATTGTTAACTAAAACATAACTATGTTATTTTATGATGTTTACTCTATATTGGTAACTAAAACATAACTACATTATTTTATGATGTTTACTCTACATTGTTAACTAAAACATAACTACGTTATTTTATGATGTTTACCCTACAATGATAACTAAAACATAACTACATTATTTTATGATGTTTACTCTACATTGTTAACTAAAACATAACTACGTTATTTTATGATGTTTACTCTACAAGGTTAGTGTAGAAGTCTAGATAGGTTTAGTGTATTGAAATATGTTAAAATAAAACCATCACCAAACCTCACGTCACAGCAGACTGGTATAAAACATAAATCATGGTTTCATATGTTTGTACCATTAATTTATCACTTCATGGCCCCAAAACGTTGAAAATGTAGGTTTATTTTCTTATATTGTTTATTTACTAGTATATCATGCAGTTGATTTATAACCATCATCCAATCAGGATTAAAATCCTGTTGAGAATATATAGAAAGTTCACGTTAAACAGCCCATTTTGACCAATGCTAGTTGTTAAAATCACTATAGTGATTGAAGTGATATCTATATCTTTGTTATTAGTATAAGTAATAAACAGTTTAAGCATGGTCCTCTCCAACCCAGCTAAATGTCTACATGCATATAATATAGTATTATATGAAATATTATTAATATTGTTAGTATTACTTGCCCTACACTATATCTAAGGCTAGATTTAAACTAACATTAGTAGCAATGAAACAATATAATGCCAAACATAAGGTCTTCACAATAGTGACTAAGATTTCAAAGTTGGAGAGTTACAACAGAAACCGTAAAATCCAAGCATTTAGGACTAGATATAAAATAAGTCATAACATATTCACATGTGGCTTCCTGTTGGTATCGACGCTCATACTGACTTAAAATTTATATCAATATACAGAGTGGAAGAAAAGTTGTTATACAGCTGGTATTAAAGAAAATGTTATGAAACCAATTTAATTGTTGTTTGTTTCAGAGTGAGATGCTAGAAATTAAAACAATGAAACAACTGTATACTTACTTTTGTTCCACCCTGTACATCTAGGTAAGCCTACTGAACTCTAGGTTTCTGCCACATGGCAGTATGTACCTTATGTGGAAAAGCCCTAAACATGAAGTTAGTCATGACATCGTTGGGCTTCTGTTGTGAATGCTCTTGTATTTGAAGAAAAAAAAAACTGAGCAAAAATGGACACTTACAAGTTTTTTGGGGGAATGAATTTTCTTGTTGTGGCAACTGCTACTATTCTGTTACCTAAAAATGTAGGTGACTGTGCTCAGATGGCACTTAAAACAGTAACAATATTTGAAGGAGTGCTTTTAGTTGCATCCAATGTATAATTTAACAGACTATCAGATAAATATGCTAATAAAGTGTTAAATGTTATTTACTCCCAACTTTTAAATACAAAATTAATAATATTGTAATAATTCACTAAAAAAATAATTTTTTTAAAATAAACTTGTGTAGGTTATAGACCACACCTACAGTACCAAGTGTATAGAGAAGAAGCCAATTAGAGAGAGACAATACCAGCTGTATGGTTTGAAGAGCCATTCAACTTCTGTGATATAAAGCTGGTGGTGCTGAGCATCTACCTTATGTTTGCTTTTGTGCATTGGATAACTCAACATCTATGTATGAGTACATCTACATTATATGCACAAAATACACAGACTCGCTTATCAAGCTGTTTCGTGTTAATCATACACAACTAAAGTAAACTACAATTTATATCACATTCAATGCTGGGAAACATAGCAAAGCATGTACAAAAATCAACCAAATATTAAGGACATTACTTTCAAGTACACTTAAATATTTGATACATATAAATTATTTACTTGGGCAATAATATTAACAGATTTCACACTTCAGATAAATAAATTCAAGTTAACTATGCAACAATATTCTACCATACTAGAGTTACATTCAGAATTAGGCTTGCAAGATAAAATTCAGTTTCAATTATGAAGGTGATTTTCTAATTAGGTTTTTTTATAAAACACAAGTAAAATAACAGAAGCTATCTACTCTCATTTTAAAGTAAAACAAGGCAAGTAAAATAAACTATCTACCCTCATTTTAAAGTAAAACATGGCACGTAAAATAACAGACTATCTACCCTCATTTTAAAGTAAAACAAGGCAAGTAAAATAAACTATCTACACTCATTTTAAAGTAAAACAAGGCACATAAAATAACAGAAACTATCTACACTCATTTTAAAGTAAAATAACAGAAACTATCTACACTCATTTTAAAGTAAAACAAGGCACGTAAAATAAACTATCTACACTCATTTTAAAGTAAAACAAGGCACGTAAAATAACAGAAACTATCTACACTCATTTTAAAGTAAAACAAGGCACGTAAAATAACAGACTATCTACCCTCATTTTAAAGTAAAACAAGGCAAGTAAAATAAACTATCTACACTCATTTCAAAGTAAAACAAGGCACGTAAAATAACAGACTATCTACCCTCATTTTAAAGTAAAACAAGGCAAGTAAAATAACAGTTTACCTTTGATTTACTGTAAAATATATTACATGTAAAGCAACTGTCAACACAAGTATTTCAGTTATTAAAATTGTCTGTTGTGTTAAATGCAAATAGCTTTATGAAATCCACCATTATATTGTTAAAGTTTGATACATAAAATCAAAAACAAAACACTGATTTCATGTCATACATTTTTATACAAATCTAGGAAACTTAAAAAAGTTTAGTGATACTTTATTTTAAATTTCTTTTATACTCCTTGTCCAGGAATAAATGCAGAAAATGTTTTACAATTCACAGAAAAAATCGCTATCTTCACAAACACATGAACCGGTTATAACATTTTCATACACAAGTTTTCTTTAAAAAAATTACATATTCAACAAAAGTTGTTGAGTTTCTCAACTTCAAAGAATACCACATTTTATCATTTGATTAAAAAAGTTCAAACATTTTCAATTCACTGATTTTCTTGGTGGGGAGGAGGGGTCCAGCCAATAAGAAAATTGATGCAATTTTTTCTACAGCTACACAGGAAGTAAATTATTATAATATCTAGAAGATCAAATAAAATTCTCACCAAGGCTATTTCAGGATCAGGAATAAAAACAATTTCTGCTACTGGGTGACGTTGACAGTCCTCCTCTGCTACAACAGGCACCAGATGAAGTAAGTTAACTTATTTTATAGAAACATGTTGTTGTAAGGTTACAACTGGATCTACAACAGGCACCAGATGAAGTAAGTTAACTCATTTTATAGAAACATGTTGTTGTAAGGTTACAACTGGATCTACAACAGGCACCAGATGAAGTAAGTTAACTTATTTTATAGAAACATGTTGTTGTAAGGATCTGCATAAGGTAAAACAAGCTATTTTAGGGATTAATTTTGTAAGTATCACACTAGTAGAACAAATTTATCCTTAAGGTCTAACCAGTGTACCTGTCACAAATTTATTGTTAAGGTCTAACAAGTGTACCTGTCACAAATTTATCGTTAAGGTCTAACAAGTGTACCTGTCACAAATTTATTGTTAAGGTCTAACAAGTGTACCTGTCACAAATTTATTGTTAAGGTCTAACAAGTGTACCTGTCACAAATTTATTGTTAAGGTCTAACAAGTGTACCTGTCACAAATTTATCGTTAAGGTCTAACAAGTG